ACATTACTATCTATAAACATAGCCTAAGGACATTATTCTCTATAAACATAGCCTCGTTTCATTTATCTCAAAAAACATAGCCTCACAACATTACTCTCTATATACATAGCATTAGTATAATAGGCTCTTTAAACATAGACTTATTACATTGCTCTCTATCAAAAAATAGCCCCACTATTTATTCCCTATAAACATAACTACATAACATTACTCCCTTTAAGCAAATCCACAATATCTCTCATCCGAATTGATAATTATTTCGTTTACATTAGGTGATGATTATCAATGGAATATCAAGACAAAAACGTGTGGTAGCAAAGTGGGTGATGCAGGGTATACCAAAATTGTTGAGTATCCCCGAAGACTACACTGAAAAAATGTGCAGGATTAAAAGTGGGATAGGTAACAACAAATTACTTAAGTTAATTTTAGTGATGATTGTTGACACGATTCTTTAAATTCTTTTTTACTACATTGGTAAAGGCGGGATCTTGCTCCATAAGTTAAGATGGGTTTTTGCTACATTGCTTGAAGTGGATTCTTGCTATATATAAGTCATATTGTTAAAGATCATTAATTAATTTTCAGTTGTGTAATGAAGTCTGTTAGAATGTTAGAATACTATTTTACTGGCAACAGGGTACGTTCATAACATTTGTATAAACTTCTTTAACAAAGGTCTATATAGAAAAATAATCCCTACCTTACATATGTTTCACCGATGAATTTATTCATTTTCTTTATTTAGTCAGAGCAGAGTCTTCTCTTTACAACATACTACAATCTAACAGCTTGCCATTATGGGTACAGTTCCCAGCTGACCGTGTGCTTACAGTTGGTAACAAGAGCATCAATACAAACGATATTCCTCCCTGGAAAATCACAAAACGTTTTTACGAAGTCTATTTACTTGCCAATACTATCATAGACGGTAGGTGTTTAAGTTATTTTCCGTAGAAACATATATTAATATTATGTTTAGGAATCCCCTATAAATTAAAAAAGGGATGGAATAGGCATTTCACTTTGAAGTTTAAAGTTGCTTAATCATATAACTACCAAATACAGGCAACATCTTCTATATTGATCCTAAATATGTCGCTTTTACAGAGTAGTTGCGATATATAGGGATCATTTCCCCGTCGTCTATCTACCCGTCTATCTGTCTGTCCGTCCGTCACAAAACTTTTCAGACTCCTCATCAAAAACCACTTGTTCAAATTCATTCAAACTTCACAGGAATGATCAGTACCACGTCTTCACAATGTCAATGAAACTCGCCGTATGAACACATCTGCGGATGATTCTTAATTCAAAATTGTATTGTTTCATGTTTAAATGTTGAATTCTGCTTAAGCCGGTGCTAGGGGGCATGGACGGTAGCTTTCACTTTCCAGTACCGTCCATGAACAGGCTCAATCAAACCTAGTCTGCAACCTTTTCAATTTTGCCGTGTTGGGCCTTCTTTAGGGATTCTGTATTTTTCTATTTTACAGGATTGATCTTCAACTTAAGTACTTGTGCATATTGTACAGATTTTCCGGGTGAATTATTGTTTTCCGAGTTATGGCCCTTGAATAAAATTGTGATTTTTGTGTGTTGACAGCTACACAGAAGCTTGTCTGGACTATTTCGCAGGAACATCTGGTGCAATTACATCCAAACTTAACAGGAATAAATAGTACCAAGTCTGGTTGTGCTGATGGTTCAATACTTTTATCGTTTATCGGAGTTATGGCCCATTTATTATTTTGGTGTTTTAAGTTTGTCTGATGCAATTTCAATGAAACTTTACAGGATTGATTGGTAGGTCAATCACTTGCCCTTACTTCCCAGGTCTTTGCTTGAATGATTTTTGGCGAGTTATGGCCCTAGAATGTAAAGGGTGTTAATAAAGTTTATCCGGGATTCTACTCTTATACCAATGTTAAAATTTCAATGAAATTTTACAGGATTGGTTGATAGCCCAAGTTTCTGTGCATGATACACACATTTTGCCTCTTGAATAAAAGGTGTTGTTTTGTTTTGCCAGCTATGCTGAAGCTTTCTGGACTACTCCTTCTCAGACACTAGTGGTGCACTTTCATTAAAAATGTAAGGGAATGATCAATATTATGTCTAGTTGTGCATCTCATTGACATATTTCGGTTCATTGATATTTTCGTTAGAGTTATGGCCCTTTCATGATTTTATTTTTTTTAATTCTTCCGGACTACTCCTCTTATACAATGTACCACTAGTGCAATTTCAATGAAATCTTACTGAATTGATCGGTTTCGATTTATAAGTTGAATAATGATTGGCCGAGTTATGGATATCATGAGGCGACACATGTGATTACTGATAGCTTTTGTTTGTTCATATGTACCATAAGGAAGTCCAATGATTCAGTGAGTCGTTATATATATGTGTGTATATATGTATATATTTCATGTATTTATATAATGAAACGAAAATATATGTGCATATTTTCACGTTTTATATATACATGTATGTTTGCAGGTTACCTATGCACAGATGTGACACATGTACCTTTATACCTATCCGAGCTAAGTCTATCGGTTGTAACAGGGCTCAAAGGACAATCTGTCGATAGATGGAAGGTATTTTTCGACCAAATGGTTTACAAATGCTCGGCTTTTGAATATGATGAGCACTTTGGAAATCCTAGTGCGTATTGAAGTTATTTATGAGTTTCTTCGGAAATGCTTTTGATCATTTAATTGTACTTTACCTTATTTTTCCAACCTCTAATTGTTAAAAGCTGCCGTCTAAGATAGGATGTGGTTAGAAAACCAGCCTGGTTGTTAGAAAGTTAATTTATAATAAATGCATTAAAAACATCTCAAACTTAATTTATTATTTTCCAATATATAACGGAGTCGGATTTTTCTTCAATAGAATCGATTCATTATAAATATTAAAGGAGATAAGCTTATTTGTAGAATGTAATGTTTTGATTAATTTTCTTGTGTGACATAACCTAAAACAAAATCAATTCACCTCTTGTAAAATGATGTAGGCTTAATACGAAAAGTATTCAAATTCATAGCATGCAAATTTTGATATATTCAGTATTTTCATATCTGATACATATTGGAAATGAGTTCATGATATATGTTTTTGCAGATATTGCAGAATATGACCAGTCGTCTATACATTCCCTCACAGAGATGACATACTGTGAACCTAAATTGTATTCTGATATAGTAGGCTTAGTCGAAGGCCCGCCTTTCAAAGTTACACCACATCCTTATGTCCCGCTGAGAAGCAATGGGAAGCCAGAAACAAACACTAAACTTGCCATTCAAGCAAGGCCTTTACCACCTCTCCCGGAAGATATTCCAAAAAACAAACAGCATAAATCGAACCAATCGGATGCATTAGAATTGTCCGCAAAAATGAGCAATATGTACATCACACCAGATTATTCTGATAAAAATAAAAGTTTTAACGCAAAGCATCCGTCTTGCCAGAAAACAGAAACTAACCCACAATACAACAACGATATTCCGAGAGCATCGATACAACCAAAAATCCCAAATCGTGTACGACATTCGAAGGAATCCTCACAAATAGCGACACCAGATCGAGCTGTCAGACCTTTCGAGTACAGGCACACTAAGGATGCAGTTATGAATGTTGAAAGTCTTTCTATGAATGAAGTGACTGAATACCTAAAAGTTCTGAACCTCGGTCAATATGCTGAGACGTTTAAAAACAATATGATTGATGGTATGATGCTGATAGGTCTCTCGGAGAAGATGTTACGAAAAGACTTTGGCATGAATAGAGTAGAGGTCTTTAGACTGTTAAAGTTTGCAAAAGAAGGATATATACCCACTTAAGTAATGTTAAACGAAAACATTTACAATCAAAATAAAAAGTGCCTTTCAGACTCAAATAGGCAAATTGTATCACACCTGATAATGCAAATAATATTCGAAATGCCTAATTTGGAAAATCGTGTGAATGAAATTGACAAAATGAGTTTGAATGCTTATAATGTTGATGTTAGATTAAACAATATTTTATTACAATTGATGCAGCTGCTTCAAGTTCATTTTTAACATGTTCGAGTAGCATCGGCGTACTCAAGGATAGGGCGGAAAATAGACATATACATTCTTTCCAAACTAGAACGATTGAGGAGAAATTTCAGTGATTTTATAATGCCTACTCTCTGCCAAGTATTTTGCAGAATTATAGATATATGAGTATCCCATTATTAATTTGAATTTGGGGATGGTTTACTTGTTTTATTTTTCTTGAAAATATCATGGATTCGGTTTTGGACGGATAAAAAGTAACCAACCAAACCTTTGACCATTCATGAATTTTTTTAAAGTCGTCATATAAACGCTTGGCTGCTCTACAATGATATTAAGGCTCGCAGAGGTCCGAGGATCGAGCCCTGCCGCGGACTTGGGCTTAAGCTGATTATGAGTCTAGTATAGCGCACTAGCTAGCAGACGGAAGAAATTGAGGTAATTATATGTAGTTGACAACGGGTGTATTGTTATCGCGATCAGGAGAGATAGGGAGGTGAAGCCAGGTTACGAAGGGTAAAGGCGCCTTTCAATTTCAAATTGAGCTGAAAGACTTGATGGCAGAAAGACATCGCTGAAATAACGCAGCGATTTCGAATGCTTAGAATATCGCAAAACACAGCATCTTATACGGAGGTACGACAACCTCTGTGCAAGAGCTTTCAATATCGTGTAGTATGTATGGGTAAGCATAAAGATTGATTGTGGGCCAACTTTGAATGAAACACTGGATGTGGAATAAGACGTGAGGAGGGCACTAATATAAAATAATATAATATATATAATAAAGTTGTGCAAGTGTTTGTGGATACACCTCTCCATTAGTTTTTTATACAACGTAAAGGAGAAATGGGTTGGTAGTTCGAAGGCTTAGATGGATCATTCTTTTTAAATATAGGAATGACATTGGCTATTTTCCAGGAGGAAGGAAAGGTACATTTTGAAAGTAACATGCTGAAAAAAGCCAGCCAAAGGTTTAGACAGAATAGAGGATCCTTCTTTCAGTAATGGTGGTCATCAAGCTTTCGATGGGTCTATTAACAATATACATGTAGTATCTTTTACATTTGTAATTTGGGGAAGAGGTCAGTTTATATGCAAGTTCAGATTTGGGAGTTGTGTGTTTTGAACGTCAATATATGATTGTGTTCAACAAAAATTATTTAGTAGTTCTATGTTTTCTTTGTCAGTGTTTGCAGAAATTCCGTTATCAAGGAGGACTCGGATTGCTGGTTTTGATCGTTTTTGTGTGATAGATTTTGTCAGTTTAAACCAATTTTTCGTTGAGGTCTTTGATGAGTATATTTGTTCAGTTAATCTATTTTGATATTCATTTTTACATTTTCGTATTTGTTTTGATACCTCATTTCTGATTGCTCTATATTGTTGTCAAGATATCTCTGCATTCATCAGTTTTGATATATTGTAGGGCCTTTTTGCATTATTAGTTTGCGTTATTAGTTTGTTGGTCATACATGGAATATCATGAGGTCTTATTGTTACTATTTTTGTTAGGAAAATTGTTGTCTGTGGCGTTATACATGATAATAGTTTTACGTTTGACTGTTTCATCTATATCAAAGTCAGTGTTTATTATGGATTGCCAGTCGTCTGCTGAGTTAAAACAAACAAATTATTTATCATTTAGTGATTAACCTGTTCGTGCTCTGTCTTGTGCCCCGTCCTGTTTTTGTTTTGGGTCCGCCTGGGCTCCCTGCCGCTGGTTCTTGTTGATAGGTCATATGGGGGTTGCGTTCATTGAACGCCGCCTTTCCTTGTTGATCTTAATTATCATATTTCAATTACATTTCTGTAGCCACAGCAATCACCCCTATCAAAAAGCCATATTTTGCGTTTGTATGTGGTACCTTGTTGTTTCGATAATTTCATTACTGATACAACAGGTTAAGATATAATTTGAGTTCTTTACAATCATTACATCGAGTAGTGAGTTAGAGCCTTGTGTAAAGTGGGTTGGTGTAGTAATAATCTGTTCTGCATTGTCAGACGCTTTGAGATAAGACGTACAGTTTGTTTGAATTAGAGTTTAGATTTATGTTAAAATCGCCAGCACGCAGGATATTGTCAGATCTCTCGGAAAATGTTCATCAATACACTGTTCAAGAAATAGCCAATGCTGATTGTAAGAGTCTGGGAGTCTATAAATACCGCCTAGAAGAAGTATACGACTTTTTATATCAAGCTCCACTCATACACATTCGATACCACGTATAAATTCCTTCTATCTATATAAAAAACTGGAAAAAAAATCAGATATATTGTATTATGCAGAAAACGTTCTTTTTCCTCCATGTATAGTATTCACTAAAACTATTAACAGATAATGTGGAAACAAATATTTGTGTTATATATGTATATATTTTACAAAAATATAAGCCCAGGTACACTGTAAGCAAACTTACTCATTTAGTGTGTATATACATATTGTTGCGCGCCGGTGATGTCAATCTATGGGTAGCGTATAAGAAGCACCGACCTCGCAACACTGTGTTTCTATTGTTTTGCACAATGTCGTAAAGTTGGAGTCTCTAAACCAGTGTAACTAAGCGCCACAGGTTATACAAGCTGATCTTTTCTGATGAGGTGATATTGAAGAGTTTGGTCTCCACAGGGAATTATGGGAAAGTCATATATAAGTAAAGGGGGTTATTTATAATCCAAAGGAAAAAGACTCATATATGGCAGTACTTTCTCTTTATTCAATGTTATAAGGGGAAATATATCAATTGTAATGAATGCAAAATACAAGTCAAGAAATGTAAATATAAAAATTAATACCTCTTGTATACTATATTGCACGAAAGAAAATCCCGAAAAAGCTACGCAAAAATTCACTAAGATCTGTCGACTAAATGGGAGTAGGGATATTATATCTCAAATGATAATTCAACAAAAATCTTGTATCTTGCTAGACTTATGAAAATCAAGAATATAACAGATAGTTTACTTAAAAATGCCTCAAGGATATATTTAATTTATTTATACTGTAATATGAAAGAATGCTATTCACTCAAAAATTGTATTATTATGTTAACCTTACAATTATCAAAGATTGTTCAAATTGTTGCTTGAGAATGGAATCTGACAAAGATTTACCCTAGATGTTTCTAAGTTGTGGAGACCCCGAATGACGGGAACAATCAGTTTATATACCCAAGGACTGTGCACAAAAATAGTTTGTGTGTGCACAAAAAATAAGTGCTTGTACACAAAATGTGCACAGCACGCAAAATATTAAGTGTACAATACATGAACGCCATTGGATGACAAGTGCACGAAAAAACTTTATGCACTGGCAACCAGAAATCGATGTCAAATTCCATATTTATACCATAAATATAACCAAAAAGTAATAAAACTTAATCTATATGACAAAAATATATCAAAGACAAATGGAATCTTACATTATAACTCCTCTTCAGACTCATATTGCCAGAAAATCGTCAAAAACACTGATATTTTAACGTTCTACAGTTGCTGGGGAGAAAGTTACCCTAACACCGCTTAACAAAACCCGGAAGTAAATTAAATTAGCGAAAATAACATTAATTACCGGATATATAAGCCTGATAGACAATCATTTCCATTTTGAAATAATTTAAACCTGATAGCACAAATGATATCTTTAATCATTAGATAACAATCTGTTTATAAGGCCCAAAAAGCCTAAAAAAACAGTAAGTGTACAACATTCGGATACAGCAGTTTTGTCTTACAAAATAGCGAAGTGTGAACAATAGACGGAATAAAGATGAATCTTTCAAGTACATGTTTGCCAATTTAACGTAACATATAATCAACAATAACATCAGACTAAGCATTAATGCTGGGGCATCTCATCACCCCCTTCTTTCTATGTCAAAGCTCCGACTGACAATAAATAATAAATATGACTAGACTTAACAGTTAAATAACAAGATATGCACAAGTAATTTACTATACTATGAATAATAAATAACTGCTATCACACATTCAATATTTTGCCTTACACATTACTTTAAATATTTGACTGTTCATCTTTAACTTAAAACTTGACTGTTCACCTTTAAGAAAAGTGACTTACATCTTAGCAGTTCATCTTTAAAGCAAAAAGTTAAAAAATGTAAAATCATTGATGATCAAAGGAAAATCAAGTTAATAACAGCTTAACAATTGAACAATTTTGTCATGTAACAATTCGAACTTACAACATGTGAATTAAACATTTAAAGTTAAAAAATGCTAGCATTAAACAATGCATTTAACCTTTACAAACAATTCTCGTCAAATCCTACAAAGTACATCTTGTAGCACCATGAGTAATGAAAATACTCCTAAATTGCAAAAATTCTTTCGAGTCTATTGCACATTATGCAGAAACTTAATGCTCAATTGCATTAATTTAATCTTTAAAACTAATGTTCATCTTTAATTAAACACTTAGTAAAGCACTAATACATAACTCTTACTCAAAAAGAGTTTAAGACAAAGTTTCTTTGAGTTAAAATTAAAAAAAATAGTAAATACAATCATGTATACTCTTTAAGAAAAATTATTCCTATTTTTAATACACACAATAATTCAATAGTAATCTATCTTAACCTATTAAATAAAGCATCATTTCTTTTAAAGAACCCTGTTTAGCACATTTTACTTAAATCTGTAATACTTTTAACTGTCATTTCTCCAACTTCTATTTTTTTACACTTTATTCACGATAGATTTTAATGTTCTATTTTCCTTTCCCTCTTTCTTCGAATAATCCTCTCTCCTACTCGTCTCCTCACTCTTTCTTGATTTCTCCTTCCTGTTTTCATCTGCACGCTTCACTGATAACTCATTTTGACCCTCTTCCCTACGCCTCTCATGCTCTCGTCTCTGCTCTTCGCCCATCCTTTCCAGTGTTCGATTCATTTTTGACATAACTTCCATCAACTGACCTAAAGTTTTGTCAACACCTCTCACAGCTCTGCTGTTTTTCTCAAATGCGTCAGTTAATTGCTTCACCCCACTTTCAATTACACTTTCAATGACTTTTGCTAGTTTAAAGTCCTGCTTTTCTTCATTGGTTACTGTATCATCAATTCTAGGTCGTTTTGTTGCCGGTTCGACGTTTGACGTCAGCTCAACTTGGGTGGCAACCTCTACTCTTGATGTTCCAACAAGAGGATCTTCAACATTACCAGAATCACTATTTAAATTACCATTTTCAGTTTGAGCACCTGCTTCAATTTCAAGCCAGTTATGATTAAACCCAAATTCGTATTCTGACTCAGTGTTGTCGTTGATCCCGAGTAGACCTGGCAGTATGTCTTCAGTAGTAGACTGATTTATTTCAGGTGTGTTCAGTAAGGAACCCACATGTTGACTTCTATTTTTAGTTGAAGAGACATTATCTGTTGAAGGCACATTGTATAAAACATTTTGTTGATTTCCCTTAGTTTTATTGTCCTTTACAATTGGTGTAGGAATATACACTTGTGTTGATGTTGTACTTGGGCTATACATTGCCCCTGTTGTCATATTGATGGTAGAATTATCCATAGTATTTTTCTGATGGGAATTATTAACTGGTGTTTGTTGACACTGAAGAAATTTTTCAAGCATTTCTGGAGTTAACTGAATATTGATGAGACCACTTCCAGATTGTTGGTTAACAGGTGCTTGGCTAGTTGTAGGAGGTGACATTAAAGGTGCTTGGCTGACGATTGATGGTGACCTTAAAGGAACTTGGTCATCTTCCCATCCTAAAGAGCTACCTGTGTTTTCTTTGCTGTTGTGTAGAGAAGCCTCTAGGGATGATAATTCTCTTAGATCCTTACCTAGTTCAACTAGTGCTGGGCGTGGATTTTCCACAAGATACCTCCTGTCATCCGTGCGATGCTCAGCAGCTGCCAAACGATGCCTGCTATACTTAGATACGTGGTTGATTAAGGCAGACTTAGTAGAGCACCTCAATAAACACAAAGTACAGTAAAATGGTGCTTTGTCAAGTGCGAAATGGTGCTTGTAGATGTGAGCAGTCACTCTGTAGCGAGCTTCTACGTATTTCTTTCCAGCCGCTTCACAATGAACACATGAATACATCTTGCCTCGTCGTGGTTCAGCCATTGCGTTCTGAGAAGATACAAAAACAGATTTTTAATAAACTGATAAAAATCATGATGACATTATTCTTCATATTTTGCGAAATAGATTAAGCTTCTATCATGAGAGAAGGGTGGTGGGGTGGGAATCGACAGATCTTAACACCGCGCTAGATAATTCATTACCTCTGGACAGCGATGTGACGTTGATACTTGACGGCGAAAATATGTTGACGCTCGACGGCAAAATGACGTTGCAAATATTCGAAAAAAATAGACAGAAGAGCGAAACAATATGGCTGATACAGCTGATGCTCATTTTATTATTAATATATATTTTTACACAAAAAAACAAAAATATGTAACACAACAAAAAGCTTATGTTGTTATGTTGATAAAATGTTGACAACTACTGCTTTAGATAAGTAGCTTCTTCTTTAACTTCTTAATCCATCTAGGAACATTGCATCCAACATATGGCTTTAGTTTATTGTGATGCACCACACGCTCTGATCCCTGGTCCTTTATCTGAATAACAAAGGTTAAAGGAGACAACTTCTTCAGCACCAAGCAAGGACCTTCATAGGCTGGTTGCAACTTCGGAGCCTCACCAATTTTTCTGCATTCCGCTAAACACCACACTACATCGCCCTTCTCGTAAACATTCATTATCATTCGTCTGTCATATATGTCTTGGCTTCGCGCAGCTGCTTTTCTTAAGTGATTCCTGGCCACATCATGTGCATGGTTAATGTTTGCTCTGATCTTCTCTACATAGTCCCCATATTTTGATACCTGAACGTCGGACTCCTTGGTGGTACAGCCAAAAACAAGCTCTGCTGGGAGTCGTACTTCTCTTCCCATTGTCATCATATTTGGCGTCAGTTTTGTTGCTTCATTTGGGGTTGCACGGTACGCTCCTGCCAGACATCCCAGGTTCAAATCCCAATCTTCTTGTGCACCCTTAAGGTATGCTCGGATCATGCGTGCCAACGTGTGGTTAAATTTTTCTATTTGTCCATTGCATCTTGGGTTTCGAACACTTGTCCTCACCTTCTTAATGCCTAGCAACTTGCACATCTCTTGAAAGACTCTGCTTTCGTATGTTCTGCCCTGGTCGCTAAGAATAGATATAGGACATCCCCATCTAGAGACAAACTCATTTACAATTAAATAAGCACAGGTTTCGGCTGTCTGATCAGGGGCAGGAATAACTTCAACATATTTAGAAAAAAGATCAGTGAGTACTAGGATATATCGGTTGCCACGTGGAGTAATGGGGAAGGGACCTAAATAATCGGTTGCTAAGATATCCCATGGGGCACCTGTTCTTACACTTCCCATTGGGGCTTTTGGGGGCTTTGGGGGTTTCTTATCTCTGGCGCAAATATCACATTGTCTGATAAATAGCTTAATATCTTCTCTTAAATTAAACCAGTAGAACCTTTGTAATATAACAGCTTTGGTTTTCTTTGTACCCATATGCCCTGCTAAAGGTCCCGCATGCAATTGTTGCAGTATACCTTTCTTCTCACATTGGGGTATTATTATTTGAGCATAACTTCCTGACCCGTCTTTTTTAGTGAACTCTTTTGTTAGCACCCCATCAACCACTTTCAGCTGATCCCATAATAACAGATAATGTCGTGAGGTTGAGCTCATAGTTTCTGTTTCCTCCTTAGCTGGTTTTCTGCCAGATATTTTAGCCTCTAAAACTGGTTTTATATCATTATCTTCAAGTTGTTTAGCTTGTATTTGATCAATTGTATTTCCTATCCCATATGCCCTCCAATTTGTGGTATCATCACTTGTACTTGCTGCAGGTATTTCTATATTAACCTCTCTTATCTGCCCTTGTCTTCCCTGTTCTTCAAAACTTTCAGATTTACCTGTATTTTCATTTTCACTTTGTTGATCAGGTGTTATTTGCTGTGATAATTGGTTTGCTTTCCATTCTAAAACCATAATTTCTGCACGACGTCTACATTTATTACATGGCCCACATTTAAGAGGTTCGCTCATGTCTACTATGTTACAGTCACAGTCTCGCGGGTTGTCACATCTAGATAAGGCGTCACAGTGAGGTTGTAATTTACCAGGACGATACTGAATGGAAAAATTAAAGGCTGCAAGTATTTCAATCCACCTGGCTATTTTACCATTGGGCTCTTTGAGACTGAAAAGCCAAACCAAAGCTTGATGGTCACTTCTTACAGTAAACTTCCGGCCAAGTAGGTACTGTCTAAAGTATTGGACAAAATAGACTATTGCAAGGAGCTCACGCTCTGTCACACAGTAATTACGTTCTGCTTTGTTAAGGGATCGGCTCGCATATGCTATAACTCTCTCACGGTTGTCTTGAAGTTGTGATAAAACACTTCCTATCCCAGTACCTGACGCGTCTACATCTAGGAAAAATTCCCCACCCTCATTAAGGGGATAACCCATTACTTCTGTATCGGTCAGTTTAACTTTCAAGTCTTGAAACGCTTTCTCACATTCAATGGTCCAAACGAAGCTTACATCCTTCTTGGTGAGATCTATCAGAGGCCTTGCTAATTTTGCGAAATCCTTTATAAAGCGTCTGTAATAAGATCCCGTGGCAACAAATTGTTTAGCTTCTTTAGAGGACATTGGTCTTGGCCACTCAGCTATCTTTGAAATATTGGTAGGATCTGGTCTAACCCCATCCTTAGACACTATATGCCCAAGAAACACTACCTCTGTTTGGAGCATATGGCACTTATCAGGCTTTAACTTGAGACCGGCATGTTTTATTCGGCTAAGTACCTCATCTACTCTTTGAATATGTTCTTCTAAATTTGCACCAAAGACTACTATATCATCAATATAAACTAAGCATGTCTGCCACTGCAAACCCTGTAGTGCTAATTCCATCATTCTTTGGAAGGTGCTGCTGCTGTTGCTAAGACCGAAGGGCATTCTAAGCATCTCAAATTGACCATACTTACAAGTGAATGCACTTTTTGGCATGTCTTCTTTTTTTAGAGGAATTTGGAAGTATCCACTTGTCAAATCAAAAGAGCTAAACATACTCATTCCTGCAACTGAATCAAGGCAATCCTGGACCCTCGGAAGTGGGAAACCATCTGGCTTCACTAGTGCATTGATCTTCCTATAGTCAACACATGGTCTTATGGCCCCAGATTTCTTCCTAACGAAAACAATAGGACTGGCCCATGGCGACGTACTTTTTTGGATAACGCCCTTCTTTAACAGATCATCAATGGCTGCTTTTTCCTCAGCTGCATATGCAAGTGGGACTCGTCTTGGTCTTTGCTTAATAGGAGCTGCATCTCCAGTGTCAATTGAGTGTTCTGCAAGATCTGTCAAGCCGATGTCCCATTCATCTTTTGAGAAGGTTTCACTGTATTTGTTTAGAAGTCCTGCTACAGCATTTTTCTCTGATTCACTTTTATTAGCTGTGGATTTCTCAAATAAGTTTTTCAAATGATCCGGTACTTCATAAGTACTAAAGTTCAATACATCAGAACTACTTTTACTAACTTTCTTTATGATGTTTAACCGTCTAACCATATGGAAATTTTCACATTCTCCTTCATCCTCCTTCTCAGCCAAGACACTTACTATACCCTCTATTTGCTGTGCTTCTCCAATGTGTGCATTCTGATACAGTGTCACATTTGCTGGCATAGGATTTAATACCCTAACTTTACATGTGGAACTTCTCTTAATATTTACTAATGATGAAGCCATCACTAACTGATATTTTTGCATAAAAGTTTCACTTGGTTCAACTATATACTCTGGATGAAGATCATAATCATGAGGCTCCTCTCTTTCTACAAATACATCTACCAACATCTCAGATCTCCCTGGTACACAAACATCATCCGCAACTGTAACTCTTCTTGATCTTTTCCCTTTTCCTACCTGGAAACAAGGAATATCTACACCATTCAATTCTATAACTCCTTTGCTCAACAGCAAATCAGCTGGCCCATGTACATCTCCCTTCAATATATCATACCCTATCAAGGCATCATCTTCGATATCAGCAACTACCATTTCTTTTGTCATTTCATATGACCCCATGGTAATGCTGAATTCACCTTGACCTAACTCCCTTATAGGTGCACCATTAGCGCCACAAAGATTGCTGCATTCTGTTAACTTAGGTCTCTTACTCGAATCTAAGTTACTATAAACCCTGTCCGACAGTATAGACTTAGATGCTCCTGTATCAGCAGTGAATATTACGTCTACTCCTTGTACGCTTCCCTTAACATAAACCCCATCACTGAGCCCCTTACTTTCTTTTGGCTCTATCTTTTCACTCTGCTGATTTTTTCTGTGGCCCTTACTCTCTAGTTGGACCCCCTCCTGGCCACTGGGGCAGGTCCCTGGAAGTTTAAATTACTGTTCACCCTTGTTTCCCTATCATTCTTTCTGTCCCTCCAGTTTCTCCTAGATATATCCTTATCTGGACAATCTCTAGCATAGTGACCTGTGTTGTGACAAGTAAAGCATTCTACATGTCTCTTGTTTTGATTTGGAAGATTTTTGGCTTGATCCTTCTTACTTACTTCCTCAAGTTTCTCAAGCCTCTCAAGAATTTTACCTAACACCTCATCTTGTTTTGTTACCCTATTTGAATCATTACTCAATGTTGAGTCTGTACGTTTATCTGTCTCGGTTGTCTCCTGTGACTGAAAAGCTCTTCTTGTGGCCTTATACCTCTTATCTATTGTACCGCTGTTTCGTGTCTGTATGAAATTAACTACATGGTAGACTGCCTCATCAATTGTTTCAGGTTCTTTATGGAATTCTATTTCAAATCTTATTTCATCATCCCTTAAACCATCTAAAAACTTCCTGACCAAATCTTCTTCTCTTGTTTGTCTATCACGAAAGCCGTGTGCTTTGTCATATAACATCTTTAAGTCTGCAGCATAATCTTCTGCTGTTTCCCCAGGCTTTTGATTGCGACGACTAAATTTTGCAGCATATGCGCGGCTTGTCTCAACAACGCGAAATCGATAATGCATTTCCTTAACTACTTCGCGATAATTCTTTAAGACTGCTTTTGGCAATTGTCCAAAAAGAAACTGTGCGGCTTGACCCTCAATGCGAGGCAGGAGTTGATCTAGCCTGTCCTCATCATTCCAGTGGTACCTATCGGCAATGGTCTCAAACCTAGCAATCCAAACCTGCCAGTCTTCTCTACCAGTGAATATCGGAATTTTGATGTTATCAGATCCCTTGTATCGGGTACCATAACCACCACTATTATTCACTCGGTGATATCTATGATCAAACTGATTATCATTTTCCCTGTAGTTTATGCGGTTGTTTATTCTATCATCATAAGTGTCATTTGTATATGCATTTTCATTTAACTGCGCCACATCTGAATAACGGTTGTACCCTACCCTTGGTGTCATGTCATCATCTTGATAAGACTGAAAATTTCTATTTATGTATTGAGCATGTTCACCAAAATTATTGAAGTTCTGGTTTTCAGAAGGCCTATTTGATGAAAAATGATTTGCCTGATTATAACCTTGTGGAATTGTCTGTTTTAAGACTCTAAGTTCTTGGACTACTTCTTTCAAAATGCCGGATATATCGCTTAAGTCTCTTGAGCAGACCCTATTGTCATTACTTTGATCATTAGATGTGTTGACTGCTCTATTTACTTGCTGTTGTTGTATATAATCTTGACTGACATCAACATCAGATGGTATATTGCTTGCAGGCAAGCTTTGAATACTGCTGGTCCTAGATATTGACCCCTGACTCTCAGAGCGCCTAAAGAATACTTCAGCATCACTGCCGGCAGGTGTATGACAATCCATATCTCTATCTGGGGCGTCCGTGGCCGAGTGGTTAAGGTCGTTCACGTCAAACCACTTGCCCCTCACCGCTGTGGGTTCGAATCCCGACAGGGACTTTGGATTCTTTCATGTGAGGAAGCTATCCAGCTAGCTTACGGAACGTCGGTGGTTCTACTCAGGTGCCCTATCGTGTCTGAAAAAATGCACGGAAGGGCACCTGGGGTCTTCCTCCACCAGTAAAGCTGGAACGTCGCGATATGACCTATACTGTGTCGATGTGACGTAAAACCCAAAACAAAACAAAACAAACAAAATATCTCTATCTATTTATGTACTTGATAATAGCTTGAAGCTTGAGTTCGAATCTCTGGATCCTGTACACAGTCAAAAGGATCCCACCGCTGCCACCAAAAATTATGTTGCGCGCCGGTGATGTCAATCTATGGGTAGCGTATAAGAAGCACCGACCTCGCAACACTGTGTTTCTATTGTTTTGCACAATGTCGTAAAGTTGGAGTCTCTTAACCAGTGTAACTAAGCGCCACAGGTTACACAAGCTGATCTTTTCTGATGAGGTGATATTGAAGAGTTTGGTCTCCACAGGGAATTATTGGATATCATATATAAGTAAAGGGGGTTATTTATAATTCAAAGGAAAAAGACTCATATATGGCAGTACTTTCTCTTTATTCAATGTTATAAGGGAAAATATATCAATTGTAATGAATGCAAAATACAAGTCAAGAAATGTAAATATAAAAATTAATACCTCTTGTATACTATATTGCACGAAAGAAAATCCCGAAAAAGCTACGCAAAAATTCACTAAGATCTGTCGACTAAATGGGAATATTATATCTCATATGATAATTCAACAAAAATCTTGTATCTTGCTAGACTTATGAAAATCAAGAATATAACAGATAGTTTACTTAAAAATGCCTCAAAGATATATTTAATTTATTTATACTGTAATATGAAAGAATGCTATTCACTCAAAAATTGTATTATTATGTTAACCTTATAATTATCAAAGATTGTTCAAATTGTTGCTTGAGAATGGAATCTGACAAAGATTTACCTTAGATGTTTCTAAGTTGTGGAGACCCCGAATGACGGGAACAATCAGTTTATATACCCAAGGACTGTGCACAAAAATAGTTTGTGTGTGCACAAAAAATAAGTGCTTGTACACAAAATGTGCACAGCACGCAAAATATTACGTGTACAATACATGAACGCCATTGGATGACAAGTGCACGAAAAAACTTTGTGCACTGGCAACCAGAAATCGATGTCAAATTCCATATTTATGCCATAAATATTACCAAAAAGTAATAAAACTTAATCTATATGACAAAAATATATCAAAGACAAAGAGGTTCTTACATTATAACTCCTCTTCAGACTCATATTGCCAGAAAATCGTCAAAAACACTGATATTTTAACGTTCTACAGTTGCTAGGGAGAAAGTTACCCTAACACCGCTTAACAAAACCCGGAAGTAAATTAAATTAGCGAAAATAACATTAATTACCGAATAAATAAGCCTAATAGACAATCATTTCCATTTTGAAATAATTTAAACATGTTAGCAGAAGTGATATCTTAAATCATTAGATAACAATCTGTTTATAAGGCCCAAAAAGCCTAAAAAAGCAATCTTCTCACTAAGTGTACAACATTCGGATACAGCAGTTTTGTCTTACAAAATAGCGAAGTGTGAACAATAGACGGAATAAAGATGAATCTTTCAAGTACATGTTTGCCAATTTAACATAACATATAATCAACAATAACATCAGGCTAAACATTAATGCTGGGGCATCTCAATATATATCACATATAAGCAGCCTTCACTGATGTATGCTTGATTTTGAAAATAATAAATCCATATGTATAATTATATATTAAAGCGGTTCCCTCGAATAATAATAACATTACATATATTATATGCAAAATAATTAAAATCAGAGCACAGAAGGCGCTGAATTTGTTTGGGTCTCAGAATGTCAGAAAGGTGAAGGTTGTGAGATTATAAACCAATTTGTTTTTGTATAGTGCCACAAATGTTGTTTCCAGTGTTATAACTGTTGTAAATTTGCCATAAGGCCAATTGAAACACTGATATTCAATTCAATGTTTATTTGGAATTTAAAATTAAAAATAATAAAAAGACAAAAAAACATGAGTTGCCTTAACTGGAATTTGAACTCCAGACCTCTCGCATCCTAAACGAGCGTGTAAACCCTCGAACACGGGGAGTTAAAAGACAACAGCCTGAAGAAAATCATATTATTCTTGATTTGGGTTTGTAATCCTTATTAATTTCGAGATATTTTGTTCACGGTAATACTGTTGTTTAACACTAATGTAAATAATCATGGAGCTTAATATCAGCATGTATACTTGTAAAGAATTACACAACATCAGAAATCTTTGACCAATCGGGAACTATTTTTTCTTCTCCGAGAAGGCTTAAAATTAATGCCTGTTCTCCTGGTTAGTGTAGATAAAGGGGAGTAGCCGCCTCGAGTAGTACGGACTACTTGTGGATTTTGCAAATAAGCATAGCAGGGTCTGAAATTTCGCTACCATTATTTGTTTTGTCTGACGACCCAAACAAATCAAAACTATTAAGAAATAAAAACACAACATAATTTAAGTATTCAGAATTTATTGTACGTAATTCGTCGCAATTAAAGTGGAAATGGCGTTCCATAGTTTAATGAACTGTCGAAAACAACTTTTTATGAATACACTTTTATAAGCCGTTTTCGAATGTTTTATTGAGACAGGGGATAATCAGATGTGTAATTTAGATAAGTCAAAAACTGTTTTTTGTTAATAATACATGTATTATAATACAGACTTCCATTTTCCTTTGTGATATTTCTAAAATGTTGCATACTTAAATTGTGTCATATAAAATCACATTGTATAGAAATATCAATAAACAAAATCATATTAATTATAAATGAAAAATACGCTTCTCCACGCTTTTAAAGAATTAAATCACAAATGTTTCTACTAGAAGTCATGAAAGAGAATTGATAACAATTCTGTACATCATTTTTACGTATATTGAGGTACATGTACTTAGTATTTCCTTTACACCTGATTGCAATGCAGTAAACTTCGGCATAAAACTTTGCAAAAAGAAATTACTTTTGTAAATTGTACCCACGTAGTTGTTAAATTATGCATGAGCAAATATTATTTATGTACGTAACATGAGCATAATCTGCCCATTCGGGTCCTTGGAAATTGCTAGGCACCTTTCAATTTGATTGCAAATTTGTAAAAGTATTTGCTTTACATAACTTAATTGGGTATATATCCTTCTTTTGCAAACTTTAAAAGTCTAAAGGCTTCTACTCCATTCATGCCAAAGTCTTCTCGTAACATTTTCTCCGAGAGACCAATCAGTATCATACCATCAATCATATTGTTTCTAAACGTCTCCGCATACTGACCAAGGTTCAGAACTTTTAGGTATTCAGTCACTTCATGAATAGAAAGACTTTCAACATTCATAACTGTATCCTTAGTGTGTCTGTACTCAAAAGGTCTGTTAGGTCGATCTGGTCTCGCTATTTTTGGTGCTTCCTTCGGATATTGTACATGACTTCGGGGTTTTGGTTTTAACGTTGCTCTAGGAATATCGTTGTCGTATTGTGGGTTACTGTCTGTTTTTCGGAAAGACGAATGTTTTGCGTTTAAACTGTCATTTTCATTAGAATAATCTGTTGTTTGCTTCAGTGTATATGGAGCGGATTTAGGATAAATATATCTTGGTGCAGGAGCAGGCGGTTTGGAATTAGCTGACTTACATTCTACACTTTCTTCTCTCTGGTCATAATCCGGTTCAGGTGATGATGATCTTTTAGGTATATCAAAATAAGAAGATTTGTTTACATCACCTTCTGTTTGGTGTTCAGGCGTGATGTACATATTGCTAACTTTTTCAGATAATTCTGTTGTATCCGATTGGTTCGATTTATGCTGTTTGTTTTTTGGAATATCGTCCGGAAGAGGTGGTAAAGGCCTTGCTTGAATGGAAACTTTAGTATTTGTGTCTTTCTTCCCATCGCTTCTCAGCGGGACACAAGGATGTGGTGTAACTTTAAAAGGCGGGCCTTCAACTAAGCGTACTATATCAGAATATAATTTAGGTTCACAGTATGGCATCTTTGTGGTGGAATGTATAGATGACTGGTCATATTCAGCAATATCTGCAAAAAAATATGATGATATCATTTTACATTTGCATCAGATAAGAAAATACTGAAGAAACCGACTTTTGCATAACATTTGGTATTGAGCCTATATAATTTGACTAGAGGTTATATGATTGTATTTTAGATAATGTCACGAAAGAAAATAAATCAAAACACTCTATTGCCGATATTTCCAAATAAGATCTTTTCCTTTAATATTAAAAAAAAATCGATTCTATTCAGCCTTGATTATATAAAAATTAATAAATTCATGAATTTCAAATAGTTTGAGATGAATTGAATACATTTATCAAATAAACTTTGTTACAAACAGGTAGTTTTTTCTTACCACATATCTTTTATTGGATGGCAACTATTTAATAATTATAGGTTAGAAAATTGAGGTAAAATACAACTTAATAAGCGTTTTCTAAAGAAACTCATAAGTAACTAGAATACGCACTAGGATTTCCAAATTGCTGATCATATTCAATAGCCAAGCATTTGCAAACCAAATGGTCGAAGTATACCCTCCATCTATCAATACACTGTCCTTTGAGTCCTGTGACAACCGATAGGCTAAGCTTGGACAGGTATAAAGGCACAGGAATCACTTCTGTCCATAGTTGACCTTCAAATATATTTATATATATTAACGTGAAAAAATGCTCATAGGTTTTTGTTTTGTAATGTATGCCTATATATAAAGACACACACACACACACACAAACACACGCACGCACGCATGCGCTCGTGCATGCACGCACGCACCAACGCACACACTCACACAAACAAACGAACGCACGCTCTGAGTAATGCCCGTTAGATTATTAATAATTTATTACGACTTATTCATATTCATTTGCATAGGACTTCCTAGTGGTACATATGAACAAAAACGTGTGAATTTACTAGATGCAGCACCGGCTTTTATTACGAGTAAGATCGAAGAGTGTGTCTTCAAAGTGAAAGAAAATATTTAATATGGGTTGCCGTATCTGTTGGAAATTACATATGATTCCTTGTCAAAATATTGATATATACTATTTAAACATTTCTAAATAATTATATTACTTAAAACTCCTACCGTCTACAATAGTATTTGCAAGGAAATAGACTTCGTCAAAACGTTTCGTGAGCTGCCAAGGAGGAATGTCGTTTGTATTGATGCTCTTGTTACAAACTGTAAGCACACGGTCAGCTGGGAACTGTACCCATAATGGCAAGCTGTTAGATTGTAGTATGTTGTAAAGAGATAACTCTGCTCCAACTAAATTAAGAAAATGAATTAATTCATATATGAAACAAATACATAAATAAGATAGGGGATGTGTTTCTCTATAGACTCGTGTTAAAGCAGTTCATACAAATGTAAAGAAGTAACCTTGTTGCGAGTTAAATGATGCTCTAATTTTCCGAAAGGCTTTATGAAATGACTGAAAATTAATAAACAAGACTGATATGTTGCAAGAATTCGCCTTAACCACAAACTATCGCTCTCTACCGGCAAAGTATATAACCCATGTGCTATAAAAAAGGGATTTAAAAGATAGCTTCGTGATGATATATTTAAAAGGATCGATAAATACTAAAACAAAGTCTTATATTGACTGCAGGGATTACCAATTTTCAATAAAAAAGTATGTGGTCACAATCATCACTTAAATAAAGAATTTGTTTTTAATGCAGTGTTTTACCTATCCCACTTTTAATAATGCATAACTTTTCAGTGTAGTCTTCGGGGATACTCAACAATTTTGGTATACCATGCATTACACATTTTGCCAACACACGCTCCTGTCTTGATATTGCATTGATAATCATCACCTATTGTAAACGAAAAAAATATAAATTCGGATGAGAGGTATATAATGTGGCTTTATTTATAGGAAGTAATGTAATGTGGCTATGTTTATAGATTCTTATATTATGAGGCTTAGGTTTATAGATAGTAATGTAATGAGGCCATGTATATAGAGAACAATGTAATGTGGCTATGTTTATAGATAGTAAAATAATTAGGCTGTGTTTATAGAGAGTTATGTAATGAGGCTATGGTTTATTGAGAATAATGTAATTCGGTTATTTTTAAAGAGAGTAATGTACTTCGGTTATGTTTATAGAGAGTAATGTAATTCGGTTATGTTTATAGAGAGTAATGTACTTCGGTTATGTTTATAGAGAGTAATGTACTTCGGTTACGTTTATAGAGAGTAATGTACTTCGGTTATGTTTATAGAGAGTAATGTACTTCGGTTATGTTTATAGAGAGTAATGTACTTCGGTTATGTTTATAAAGATTAATGTACTTCGGTTAGGTTTATAAAGAGTAATGTAATGTACAAGTAAAACGTCATTATCAGCATCAGTATTGTAAACTTTCTTTGTTTTACTTCTCAAACAAAAAGTATATGTATATATATGTGTGTGCATATGCTATGTAAAAAGTTATGTAAAGATTCCATTTAATTCTATCAATAACCAAATTTAATAAATGGATTGTGAAAGGAAATTTTAATTAAAAACGTTACTGACCTTAATTGAATTATTAATTTACTTTTATAATAATTTTATCACATGAGTGTAAACAAAGAAATATGTT